GGGCCGAGGAAGGGCCGGGGCTGTGGGGGAGCGTCCTGGGTGAGCCCGGCTCCCGGCCTTCTCCTGACCGCGGGGAATACGTGACAAAGTACCACCGGTGGCCGGAGAAAGGGGGCCAGGGGAACATAGGATAGCACATTCCGGGGAGAAATATCCTTCTTATCGACCCCGTAGATGAGCACAACGCAGCACACAGCAAGCGCAGGGATGAGGGCAAGAAAAGGGGCATGGGCTATGGGGAGGAATACGAGCCACCCAAGATCCTCAAAGCCCTCCTTATTTCCATAAATGAAAGAAGAGACTTGCCCATGATCAATGATTGCATAGAAAATGAGAAACAATTCAAGGCAGGGGAACCAGTCCATAGAGAGTATTGCCCAAGCCCAGGCAGTGCCCACTGTGTCGAGTTTCAATGGGGATTCCAGAAATAATTCCAGGTCTCAGAGAGACACGAGCAGTTGATGTTTGCTAGAAAGGTCTTTATTATATAAAAGCATCAGCTTTAATATAATAGGCAAAAGGCAAAGAGTTCAGAGAGTTAAAGTATTTGCTAAAAGCTTTTGGCATGAAGTTTAAAGTTCTGAGTAGCAGCTTTCTGGTATAAGGTCCTGGTGTTCAGGGCAGCAGCTTCTCGGTGTGGAGTTTTGTTGTCTTGGGCTGCAAAAGCAGCTGGTGATGATGATGGTGCTGCTGTTCTTTTTCGGATTTTTTTTTTTTTTTCTGTCGGTCATTCTTCTCGTATTTCTGATACAGGGGATTAAATTCATGAATCATCGAATCAGCTAAAAACACGCTTCTAAAACAATACTTTCTACACTAATCTGAACTTAATTCTTACATGTGAAAGCAATGTTCTTTTAACATAAATCTTACGGATAGGGTATTATCTGTTTACATGAGTAATTTTATCTGTTCTTATCTAAGAATGCAAACTATATTTTCCTTATGTCTAGACCTAAGTTGAATTTGTGAAGGGTATTATCACTGAATTTTAAACTGGGTAATAAAGCTTTTCACTAGCTAACACAGGCTGTTAGGGCACTTAAGATATACTTTTACTTACTTAAAACTAAAACTTACACTTTTACTTTATATCTATGGCTTAATATATTTTAATTTTTTTCTCCCTCTGAAGAGCACAGAGAGGCTTTTATTTTAGCTTCTAACACCACAGGATATCCCATCGGCTGGATGGATGCAGCTGGATCGATTCTGACACCAGGACTGACAACTCTTCAGCTGGATCAATACTAAAACCAGGTGTGGTGATCTGTTCTTTTTCTCTCTTTATTTCTCCTTCTCTTTAATTCACCTCTGCCTTCCTGTCTTCCCTTTCAAAGTACCTCTTTATCTAAAACCCATTGCCATGTGTTTATATAGTAGGTCAGGGACTAAAATACCCACTGAGTGTGTAAGTTACTAATAAAATTTTCTTATTATTTGCAGACCCTCTGACTTTTGTTGTTCCTTTCAACCATGAGCATTTATGAGTCTTCTCCCTTGAAGTGTGAGGCTGCACCCTGTGGGTTTAATGATCCCTTAGCTCAGAATCACAGAATCATTTAGACTGAAAAGACCTCCAACATCATCAAGTCCAAACTAAGACTCTGTCAACCAGACCATGGCACATCCAGTCTTTCATGAAACACTTCCAGGGATGGTGATTCCACCATCCCCCTGAGCAGCCCATTTCAATATCTGGTCACCCTTTCTATGAAAAAAAAAACTTTTCCTAGTGTCTAGACAAAATCTCTCTATGCACATTTAAGACCATTTTCTCTTGCTGTGTCATTTGTTGCATGGGAGAAGAGGCTGACCCCCACCTTGCTATGATCTCCTTCCAGGCATCTTGTCTTCTCCAAAAAAGCCCAACAAGGTCTCCCATAACTGGGTCTTAGAACACAGAAGTGTTCTTGTTTTGTGCACTAGGTTAAGCCAGCATTAGTGTGTTCAAGTCTAAGTATAGCACAGATATCAGGAGTCATCTATAGTTTTGTGAGAGGAAATCTCATTAATGCATATAAATATCTCAAAGGCAAGTGCCAAAGGATGGTGCCAGACTCTTTTCAGCAGTGCTCAGTGACAGGACAAGGAGAAATGGCCATAAACTAAAACATAAATTCAACACGTAAAATTACAACATAGCTGTACTCTGGTTTGTTATACAGTTTTAGTCTTCCTAAAGTTATGGAAATCATAAAGTCAGGATAGTCAGGGTTGAAAGAAGTCTTTAAAGGTCATCTAGGCCAACTACCCTGCAGTAAGCAGGGACATCATCAATTTCCAGCAGGTGTTTAAGGCCCTGTACAAGCTGGCCATGAATGTTCCCA